TTGCACAGGTGTGGACAGGTGTGCTCGTGGTACCTGGCTGTACGGCGGCTCGCAGAGCGCCCGGGTTGTGATGGAAAGCGTCTCTCATGTCGATCAGAGTGAAGCTGAATCCTCGATACTTCAGGTCTTGAGCTGCGGCGATGCCACCAAATCCTCCGCCCACCACCACCACGTGGACACCCTCGGTTGACACCTGACCCCCCATCTCTGCAGCCACACACACACACACACACACACACACACAGGAAGTTACTACTACAGGTTGACCACACCTGACATCGTCACCCCAGAGGTCTGAAGCTTCTTAAACCTGCATTCTCTCTGACGCCCAGCAGAGGGCGCCCACTCTGAAGTCTGATTCAATTGGGTTTGCTCAGCTGACCTTTGACCTCAGTAAACTCTGTCCTGATGAGTTTCTGCTCTGTCGCTACTTTCAGGTCTGACTGAATCAAACAGGAAGTCTATTTTGGTCCTGTCAGGGGGCGGGGCTAAACAGTGACTGACTAGTTGCTCGTTGCCCATGAAATCCAAACGACTGCTTCATGTTCGTGGACATGCACGGCTCCTTTTCAGCAACTCAGCACACCTTTGAATGAATTTCAGACAAAAGAACAAACAGTAACTCTGCTGTGTCCACAGGGGCGTGTCCACAGGGGCGTGTCCACAGTGGGGCGCCATGAGGTCAACCCCCCGGCACCACGCTGCAGAATAAACGCTGTGACGTCTCACAAACTGAAACCGTCGACTGTCAAAAGCACCAACAACACTCAGCTCCAGGCTCCAAACACACCGCTGCCATCTTTTATATACAGGCTGTGATTTCTGCTGATTACATAACGCTCACTAGTTTAATCTCAGCCTGTGTTTCTACAGGTGTACACAGACCAGGAACCAGTCTGTGCTCACCTGAGCACCCGGTCCTGCTCACCTGCAGTGTCCTCAGGTGACCCTGAGCTGCTCAGACGGTCTGAGTCTTATCGACGCACCAGCTGTGAGCTCAGAGGCGTGCGGGCGGTGAGGCAGGTACAGGTATGCCAAACATGTGGCGCAGATAGAATCGGGTGACGTTTACTTCCTCGGTTTCCGGTTCTAAATCGGACTCATCAAGTACAAACTGAGGAGTACGTGTACGTGTAGGTTCTGCTCAGAGCACTACTTCCTCGTGCTGCTCCTCTTCATCACTCTGCAGGAAACTCCTGCTCGAGCATCCCAGCCGGTGTTCCAGATTAACTGGCGCTTAGATCAACTGGTGTTGGTCAAACAGATGTGTGGCAGTTTTGCGTTTCAGGAGCTGCTACCGACAAACCAGCAAAAAAA